ATATTGTCTTGTATTTAATTCGACGGATTGAATTAAAAGTTTATCGTTTAAGTTTACAGATACCAAGCCAACAACGGCTAAGGTAAGCAGTTTTTTTTGCATTGTATCGGATTACTAATCTTTTTTTTTATTTTTATTTTTTTATTTAGACGACTTTAGGTTTAGATTCAGATTTCGATTGGATTGCTTGGGCAAAAGTAAGTTACGAATTTGATATTATTTTAACATTGTTTTGGATTACTAATTGCTTTGTCTTTTTAATTTAATCAATCAAATTAGTGGTCAATTGCGCCTTGTTTACCCTTAAAAAGTTAAGCTTAAATTTATATATATTTTTTTTATTTAGTAAAAAGACGTTGATCAGCTACCGCTGTATAGATCCTTTTTTTTACAATATCTAATAATTTATATTATACAAACTGATTTTAATTTTTTAAAGGCTAGACTAGAAACATAAAATTTTGTAAAAAAAAATACGATTATTTTTTTTTGATATATAAAGAACTTCTTTTCCATAAAACATTACAGTATAACGAAATACAGAAAAAGTTAAACGAATACAGTAATAGTATAAAGATTTTTTGAAAATCTTTCCTTTTTTATATATTACAAGGCAATGATCAGCGGCAATATGAACACAATTTTCCTTTTAAGTCAATTTACTTACCTTTTTTATATTGGTAAATATTATTTTTTTTATCAAACCAAAATGTATATTTCGTTAATGTTCAACCTTTTTTGCTTGATTATATAGGATCAGGATCAATTTGATATAATTTTGCAGTACTAAGTTTAAAAAATATGGAAAAAAAAATTAATAATTCGCTAACTGAGCCAAAACGATCGATTCCAAAAAATATGGAAATTAAAAATAATAATAATAATAATAATAATTAATAAGAAGTGAACTTACTTGAAAGTGAAATCTAAATAAAAATAAGTCAATACTTTTATTATGTTATTTATTATGAATCTAAGTGTATAATTTTAGTATGTTATTATGTAAATATTTGAAAGTAGAATTTGGAAATTGAAATTATTCTATCATTATGGAGCGAAGTGGTCAAACGGAAAAGAAATTAATTAAAGGCGAAATTAAAATTAAAGTAAGTATTTCGAAATGATCGAATCCGAAAATTAAAAAATATATCGTTCGAATTTAAAAATTAAATAAGAAAATAAGATCATCCCGAATTTAAGAAATTAATAAAAAAAAATAATAAACTATAGAGATCAATCAAAAAGAAACAAACAATAAAAAATTGAAAATAAAAATTGAAAAATTAATCGTTAATAAGCCTACCCAGTACTATTAAATTGATGAAGAAAATGTAATAATGATAAAAAAAGACAACTCTTCAAAAAAATTAATAAAAGAATTAAAACAATGTAGGAAAAAAAAAAGAATAAAAAAAAATCTGGTTACTTACCTTTCCGTGACGGATCGCACCGAACCGATCGAAAGCTAGGAAAAAAAAAGAAAAAATAATATTTTTAATTAAAACAAATAAAACAATGTAAAAAATAGAAAAAAAAATATTATTAGTTAAAACAATACAAAGACAAAAAAAATAACAAAAAAAAAGTAGAAAGTAAAGAAAAAAAAATAAAATAAAATAAAAAAAACCCAGTCACTTACCTTTGCCGCAATTGACCGATCGTACTGAACTGATCGAAAGCTAAAAAAAAAATTAAAATATTAATAAACGAAATAAACTACATAACCCCCCCCCCCGAACCGATAACACGAAAGATAGAGGAAAAAAAAAAGAAATAAAAATAATAGTAATGAAAACAATACTAAAGACAAAAAAAAATAAATCAAAAAATAATAACAAAAAAAAAGATCGGTCACTCACCTGGACCGTCATGACGAACCGCCCTAGAGAATAGAAAAAAAATAAAAAAATGGAATTAGTAATCCTAATCAATACAAAAAAAAACAACAAAAAAAAACGATAATCACTCACCTTCATCGCGACGGACTGATTGAGCTCTCCTAAACCAAGCTAAATAAAAAATATTTGTAAATTGATTTTAAAAAACAAAAGATATATAAAGGGAGTTTTAATACTATGAATAAAAATAGATAATATAATAATTCAAAAAAAAATAAAAATAAAACTCACCTTTGCTGCGACAGACCGATCAAACCGATCGAGATCCGGATTAGACTAACCATCCGCCCTAGATAAAACAAAAGATAAGAGATAAAAAAAAATAGCAAAGGTTAGTAATCCGACACAATGCAAATAAAAAGAAGAAAGAAAGAAAATAAAACAACAAACTCACCTTTGCCGTGATGGTTCTTTTTTTTTGCATTGTTGGGATTACTAATTACTAATTCCTTTTTTTATTTTTTTCCTTTTCTGTAGGCGATTTTTATCTCTAGGGCGATTTATTTAATAAAAAAAAAAATACATTAGACTAAAAAAAGTATCAGAAACTAAATTACCTATAAAATTATTTTTATTAAATACAAAAAAACAAGTGGGTGACGAAGTCACCCGCAGTGAAAATCAAATCCTAGTTTCAAATAATAAAATGTAATCAGAATATGAGAGATTTGCTAGGAAAATGCGGCTCTGGGAATTTTTTAACAAAATTTTGTTTTTAGTTTTTGATGTTATAAGATTAAAATGTAATAAGGTCTTAATTTTAGTCAAAAAAATTCACAGAACCCCATTTTCCTAGCAAACTTCCCATATATTTTCTATATATTCTTAATCCTCAACTCACTTTTTTTGTACAAAAGATTTTCGCTATTTAAAAAACTCTCACATCAAATCTTCTTTCTTCTCGAAAGTTCATAAATGCCTTGTCACCTGTATGAAATCAATTTACTTTTGAAGTAATACGAATTAGAAATTACTTAATGTACATACAACCTTTGTATATCATCCCAAATGCGTTAATGTCCGAAATGATCATTTGATCATTTCGGACATTAACGCATTTGACATTGGTGAAACTTTCCATACTAATAAAAAAAAAAAAAATTTTTTTTAGTCCGAAAAATTTGAGTTATTAGAACTATCAATGTCTAAGATTGAAAATCCGGATGATGGTTCTCAAAAACAATCTAAGAGAACTAAATTTGTTAAAAAGTTTAGTAAGGTGGCCGATAATTCTGAAGACATCTTAGAATCAACGCTCATTACGGCACCCATCATTGGTTTCTGGAGTACAAACCGCAATAGACATGGCAGTACCATTTGCACATTTTTTGCCACTTATTACAGAAGTAGCCAAACTATACAACTAAATAATAGAAATATATCAAGCAGCAGAACATAATAAAAAAATATGTGGGATATTCTTGGATAGAGTCCAAGTAGCTGATACAGCCGTTAGAAATTTAAAAATTCGTAGGGATAAAAACATAAAATTTTTATAATTTACAAAATTTACTTAACGTTATTGGTAAAATTCGTAAATTAGTTGATGAAATTTCTCAGATAAAAGGTTTATCCAAATATATTCATGCAAAAAATATCGAACAACGTGTTAAAGAAATATTGTATGAATTTGATTCTACTACAAAACTTTTGAATTTTTCTTTGATGATTGACTTTAGCATACGTGCTGACAAAGATAACAAAGCTATTAAGTCTGATCTAAATCAGGTAAACACATGATATATATAATTTGATCTTTATGAATGCATGTAAATTTATTTTTATAAATCTCTTAAGTCTTTATTTATAGTTCCTTAAAGAAATTGGCAGCGGTAATATTGATGTATTTCAAAGTGAATTACTTTATTTTAATGAATTCGAAGAAGAATTCACAGAAAATAAAATGTAAGAAAATATAAGAGAAAAGATGGATTAAATGATTATGTCGCATTAAAGTTGATGGCTGATGATGAAGACAAAGCTAACTTAAGAAGTCAAGTCATAATCTTAAATAAATTGAAAGAATGTCATACTATTATTCAATTCCATGGTATAGCTTCACATGATGATAGATATTATTTGGTGACGGAATGGGCAGATAATGGTAATTTACGTGAGTATTATCAAAAGCATGGTCCACTTGAAGTTAATTTGAAATTAAGATTTGCTCGTGACATCGCTAAGGGTTTAAATTTCTTGAACGCTGTTTCGGTACCTTTTCAATTTTTTTTTTTTTTTTTTTTTTTTGTTTCAATTTGCCCCATTACTCAAAGAGATTCTTAATTTCTAAAACTTATCTCAACAGATCATTCATCGTGACATCAGAGCCGGGAATATCTTAATTACCGATAATGATACAGCAAAAATTGCAAATTTTAAATCAAGTAAAGCAGTTTCCGATAGTACTAGAAATATAAAAGCAACGTTAGAAGCTGTACGATATTGCGCTCCGGAAAAATTAAGTGGAAAAAGGACCTATGATACTAATTGTGAAGTTTATAGTTTTGGTATACTCCTTTGGGAAATCGCCGAAGAAAAAATTCCTTATGAGAAATTTGATAATGATATTATGAATATTACTGAACAAGTTTGCAACAAAAATTATCGTGAAGAATTTTCTTTTGCTTCTCCTTTACCAAAGGAATATCGAGAACTAGCAGCAAAAGGTATGTATTAATTTACCAATTCTTTAATCTATTGGCTCTTTTTGAATACTAACTTCTTAAACTTGCTAATGTGATTCTATCTAGCTACTCATCCTGATTTTAACTTTAGACCACAAATTTCAATAATCTTTGTCATACTACAAGACCTTTATAAATTAATTATAAAGAAACCAACAGGAAATTCTCCTAACTTGAAAGTACCACTTAATCAATTGGAGCAAAGTAAATCAACAACTAATATATCCAAATATGATGAATTATCGTCACAACTTTGGATAAAAGATTTTATTAAAAAAAAATTTATCACAGAAATAAAGTGGAATGATTTAGTTGGTAAATCGCCAGTTGGTTCGGGTAAGTTTGGAGTGGTATATAAAACACATTGGAAGAAAATGAACAAAGATGTTGTTTGTAAGAGACAAATTCTAGATGACATTAATGCAATTGAGCATGAAATAAAATTACAAATTAGAGGACATGTTTGTGACAATATTATTCGCTTTTTAGGAATTACGCAAGGTATGATAAATATTAGTAAATTTCATTATATAGTTTAAGAATTAATTTGATTCTTTTTAATTAATAGAACCAGAAAGTAACATTTATTGTATTGTTATGGAATATGCTGATGGTGGTGACTTGCGATCCTATCTAAAAAAAATTTTCAAACTCTCGAGTGGGATAAAAAGTTACAACTTGCCTTTGATATTACAAACGGATTACATTATTTACATGAGATTAACGTTTTACATAGGGATCTTGTAAGTTATATCTTAATTTTGTCTATAAAAATCAAATAAGGTTAATCAATTAATAAATTTATTATCTAGCATTCAAAAAATGTGGTGATACATCAAGAAAGTGCAAAGATAACTGATTTTGGAAATTCTAAAAGTCTTGATACACAAACAAACATCCTCAATGATGTTATGGGAATTATTCCATATCTAGCGCCAGAGTTATTACAATCTCCATCATATTCTATTAAAACTGATATTTATAGTCTTGGAGTTTTATTTTGGGAGATATCAAGTGGTAAACCACCATTTTCAAATGATTCCTGTTATCCAACATTATCTTTAAGAATTATTAGTGGAGTGAGAGAAGAAAAAATTCCGGATACTCCACATGATTATTGTGAACTTTATACTTCCTGTTGGGATACAAATCCAGAAAAAAGACCTAATATCGAACAAGTTCATCTAGAGTTCAAAAAAAAGTTACTTAGGATACAAAAGAGTGATGAAAACGATAGCGAAGATGGAAAAGGTATTTTTTTCATGATTTAGCATATTTCCTTTTTTATTTTTATTTTTATTTAAATAATCATAATTCATTGACGATCTTCAGTTATTAATAATCCGCAACTCACAAATGAGACGTCCGAAAATTTTGAAAATGATACAACTTTGGTTAACTTAATGATTTCTTGACGCAATGTAAATCATTGGTTTATAATGGGTTTGCTTCAATTTATTTTATATGAAATTTTATAATATTTACTCTTGACTGCAAAATTTACTCAATTGTCGTGCCGGTATAGGACTTTGAACCAGCTTTTTGATCGGTTCTGATTTTATTAATCTCCAGTCCTTTTTTTTAGTCCTTTTTTGGTTCATAAGTCCGGTCCGAGACTGATATACTATTTTAATCATTTTAAACCATTGTTTTCAAAGAAACAATTTAATTGTATGACATTAATTTTTATGGAAATATAGCAATAAATAAGGTTTCCAAATTTTATTTAACAAAATTTTGCGTATGTTTCATCTCCGATCTATTTCGATTCTCGAGAATCGAATCTCAACGAATTTTTTTTTTTTTGCATATACGGCGATCTGACTCCAAGAATGCTACCAGAGCAAAAAATTAACTTGTTCCTTTGTATATGTAAGAAATAATACCTCGAGATCCAACTACAAATACCTGCCGAAAACGCCTCATAATAATTTCGTCATACCCTTTACTATTTTAAATATAGTTTCGACAGTTTCGACTTTCGTCGTATCTGAAGGGTTTAGTCGTATCCTATATGATTTAATATAGTTTCGTCTGAATTTCGACTGTTATTAAGAGGTTTCGTCCATTATTTATAGATCCAACAATGGATGAGATTTGCGATGTATACTCTATAATCGGTGATTTCGAATTGATCGAATTGATGTGCTTATCGACATGAAATCGATTTCTAATCAATGTTAATTGTGATAACTATGACGGTGGTGTTAGTATACTCACTTCTGTGAAATATCACTCCTACACGATTCATATTAACTGTAATACAAAAAGTGCATCCTAATTGACATTTTAAGGTCGTTAGCACGTTCCATTCAAATGCTTGTTCAGCCATTACTTTTACACGTCTCATCTTCGACAGTAAATATCAAAATCTTACATAAATAAATAGTCTCTTTTCCATATTGACTGATCAAATTATATCATATTTAAAATTAATTAAATTTGTCAAAATGAACGATAGAGTAAAATTTCTTGATAGTTTAATTAAAGAAAATTACATAGTTGTTGATATATAATAAAATTAAAAATCGAAGATATTATAATGGTTCTGGCTTTTTTATCTTTAAAATTAACCAAAATTTGCGTAATATTCGTATTTTTTTTAAAAAATCAAAAAATGTAGTGCACAGCGAATTTGATGATTATGATTGTTATTTCATGCAAAAGAAAGTAAACTAATAAGAGCGAGAAGAACTAGAACTGATTTTGCGCGATAATGATTTACGAGAAGTCACGAGACTAAAGTTCGGCCTTCGGTTATTTTTAAATAAAGGTGAAAATCCACCGTGGGTTGCAGTTTCGCGTTTTCGGTGAATATTTACTATATTGTGTAAAATCATTGAAGAACTTTTTAACTTAATGAACAGTATTTATAATGTTAAATACTAATCGAAAGGTTGATTTTGATAAAATAGAGAGCCGAAACTCATTCCAAACGTAACAATCGCATAATATGGAAAATAATACAAAGTATAAAATCTCTGAAATCTCAAATATATCAATCATGTAATAGATCAAGACTTGCAGCAATCAAGGAAATTTCGCGATCAATATTCATGAAGATACATAAGCAAATCCCTTGTGTGATTGTTTATTCGGATTTCATTACAAAAGGTCGTTGAAAGCTAACCAAAGATTATTCCATTGGTCCCTTAGCCGATAGCGAGAGAGAGCAACAGACAACATTCCCAATATTTGGAAAATTAAAAATATGTATATTACACTTTGTATTTGCAATATATGTTTAAATGCTTTTAACATCTTCATTTGATAATTTCTAATAATATAAGCTACGTTATGGCTAAGTAGTAGTAGAGAAGTGTCTTCTTGAATTCATTGCTACTATTAAACCTCGAAACACAAAGGTATCCTAATAATCAGGACCGTATCCATCGAAATTAGATTACATAATGAAAAATAATATGAATTAAATATGTACATATCACGTGGTCACCCGAGTTAATATAGACATGAGGTGTCGATTGGCGGGTCCGTTTGATTTAAGTTTTATTTTAGTTAAGCTATATTCAAACAAATATACATATAATTTGTCTAGAATATTTTTTTTTAATGTTGCGAGAAAAAAGAAAATATTTTATTCTCGATATATTTCTAGGTCAAAATAAATTTTATAATTTTCATCAACGCGCTTGTAAAGAGCTTGAAGACTATTTATTGATATATGAGTCAAGAGACATAATAAATCATATGACCCATAACATGATTTCAATATCATCATATTATGATCTCGATTAAGAATCCCTTATTGTTTCAACTAACGACATCTGGTTCATTACGTGGAATTTAAAAATGTAAATTTTGTGCTCGATCTAACCTCCAATTCTGTTCCTGTAGAATTTTATTTTAATGGCTTAATGAAATTTCAAATTTAAAATTTACCAATCAAAATGTTAATCTCAAATTAGACATGACAGCTACAAATATGTATAACCAGTTTATTAGCATTTGTAATCAATTATATAAAATTACAATAATACAATAAACCTCTCATAATAAATAAATGAATCATAATTCTTCCATTTACGATGTTGATTGTAAAACTTCGGTAGAAACTATACATCTGCAGCCATGTTAAAATTATCAATAAAGTAAGGAATTGCTAAATATTGCAAAATCACGAACTTTTAATTCAAGTCAAATTAGGATGACAAAAAAATTACCATTAGACTTTTGATTTACTTTTTGAAAGTTTACTACGTCGTTAAACTGATCCGTGATATCCAATTGGCGCTTGTCATTTTCAAATAAATATATATATTTTTAGGAGAATCTTTTTTAATCACGTGAATGTCGTTATTTTTCATTACATCAGAAAGTTCCAATACAACAAAAAAATTTAAAATTGTAAATTACAATAAATCGAATATGCGTAAAAATAGTAAAAATATATGGGTTCTTTGCTAGGAAAATGAGGTTCTCGGACCTTCTGACCGAAATCAAGATTTTTGCTTTATATTAATGTGTAATATATAAACTTTATTTGGTTAAATTTTTATA